GGCAGGACCCTCTGTCACTTGGGTGCTGTCCTGAAGCAGGCAGGACCCTCTTCTTTCCTGTTCTCTCATGGAAACAGCAATTTCTCCTAGCAACCTTCTCTCACCCCAGCCACTGAATTATCTTCATCATCACTAGTCTAACTGGTTCTGGATGTGATTTGGTCTTTTTTTCTTTTTCTTTTTATCCCTTCTCTATGTGATTAGGTCTTCTTATGAGTGGAAATTTTTTTCTGGCTCTTTGACCAGAAAAAAATTCAGCCTTGACTTTCATATTAATTCCCTGTCTTCTCATCTCTTGCCTTGTTTAAGATAGGATGCAGCCGCAAATCTTTTTTTTTTTCTTTTTAGAGCTAGAGTCTGACTTTGTTGCCTTCAGTAGACTACTGTGGTGTCACAGCTCACAGCAACTTCTGGCTCTTGGGCTTAGGCGATTCTCTTGCCTCAGTCTCCTGAGTAGCTGGGATGACAGGGGCATGCCACAGCACCCAGTTATTTTTGTTTTGCAGTTTGGCCAGGGCCAGGTTTGAACCCACCACGCTCGGTATATGGGGCTGGCGCCCTACTCACTGACCCACAGGCACTGCCCCATGCAGCTGCAAATCTTAGCTGAAGTCTTATTCACATCTGAGCAAAGAAGCCTGATGGGAGGACTTGGCTCCCTTTCTGACATGGTTATTCACAGAGAATCTGGGACTTGGCCCTCCTCTCACTGGTCAGTGGAGTTGACCCATAACTGGTACATGAATCATGAAGATACCAGAATATCTTCATGACAGAGACCTTTCCCACTGTTCCACGCTGTTTCAGCACCATAAGAGAGGGCTGAAAGTCCCTTCATAGAAACCTTGTCTGCTGGAATGGTTCAGATGTTTTGGACCCAAAGGCAGAGCCATATATAACTTGGAGAATTTACTTTCAACCTCATTATTCTGTTATTGCTTTAATTGGTTAATTCACTGGAATTGAGCAATTATGAACAACATTGCTTTTGTGACAAAATACCAGCTTGAACTAGAACTGGAAAGTGCCTACATCCCTGGGTCCTCTGCAACAAGATGTGCTTAAAATGAACTCGGCTGCAGATGTGTGATTCTTTTGTAGCGGCTAAACACATAGTCTGCGAATTTCCTCCCACAAAACCTGCCTAATTTAGGATTTGAAGTTTTACTGCTTTTCCAGTGACCCAAAAGGCGCTGACAAAAGTGAAGTATTTAAAAAATAAACAACTTAGAACAATTTGAAGGGTACAGGTGCCTGTGTTAGAACTAGCCTAAGGATATCCAGAGAAGAAATTTTGGAAAATAGAAATGAGGACACACTTAGAATTGAGGAAAGTGAGAAACACACTTATGAAAAAATTAAGCACATTCCAAGCTACATAGAAAGTTCTGGAAAAAATGAAGTGTAACATGAAAGTTCGGGAAATATTCCTGGAGTGTGCCTTAAAATAGTTTTCATATTTTAATGTTTAATATCTTGTAGAGTGTATTTTGAAACAGGAAAGTTACGAACAATGAACGTGACGTACACTAACTTCGTAGTCATTTCAAAAACATAAATAACGTTCTGTAGTAGTTTTTAGAGTTAGCTTTTTTCTCCCTACTTTAAACTCAATTTTTAGTCTTTCGGTTTAAAGTACTTAGCTTTATTCTAATCCCAGAAAACCATAATGATTCATTTTCTATGTGTTTATAAAACCATGGTATATTTAATTTTCCTGTGTTCTTTTAAAAAGGATAACATAATGCAAATATTTTAAGTCTTTCCTGTTTCCCAATTGCACACTCCTATAAAAGTAGAAAATATGTAAAATGTAGAAAATATTATGGGCTAAGTGTTAATCTATTTTTTGTCAATGACTTTGGCAGCAACACAGAGAGCGGCTTTTGAGATACTGTGAAATCATCATATGACTCATTAAAGAAGCAGAGAAGGAGCTATGTTAAGTCCCCAGACATCTGCTAAAGCAAGCTTTATTTATACAGTTAGTGTTTATTTGAGGATTTAGAAAAAGAAGGCCCTCACTGTGATGCTTGAGGCATCCATTTACAAACAAAAGTCATACAAACCGAACCAAAATAAACCAAATAAAAATTTCCCTTGGGCGAGCTTCCGTGGAGAGATGGAGAGCACCAGTGGGAACTTGCATGGCGCATTAGTACTTGACAGTCCACAACTGCTGAGCACGGGTGAGAGTTTTGGCTCAGGACCCTACAGCCAGGCTGTGGGACATGCAGGAGGTGTGGGGTGACTTGTCTTGGGGATTCAGGTTCTCTGTTTGGAACAAGATGGATGTTGTTAAGGATTTTCTCTGTGACAGTTAATTTTCAGAGAGGAACCTTGAAATTCTTGGGTGGCATTTTAGACCCTGAGACTTTAGGGCCAATTTGCATGTTTCATTCTCAAACACCCCACAAAGGTGGGATTTCAGAGCAAACCCATCCCGCTGTTTCATCTGTCAAGTAGACTGAGGGGTATGGACCTATTCCCGCAGATGATAGATAGTTCTCCTCCCCCTGAGTCCTGCCGATGTGCACAGGCACACATGACCTCATTGTAAGAAAATCATGTCCAAAGTTCTAAAAGAGAAAAACATTCCCAAATGTCGTTGCTTTTAATACAACATTTCATGTCTCATTCCTTATTATTGATGCTCAGTGTAAGTTGTCATGGCCCTGATGTTGGGAATTGTTTAACTTCCTAAATTTGGGGATGAGAGAAAAAAAAGAAGTGATGCCTGGCCTCAGATAGCTCCATCCTTACATCTCAAGATTTTAGGGAACTTGGGAGATTAAAAACAAGACCCACTTTTCTTAGAGCTCCCTTATGAAATGCTACAGATGGGTCTGATCAAGATCTGTTGAGTCATGTACTGGTCCCTGTGCCTATTAGTGTAGCTAGAGGCATGTAGTCCTCTGATTGGGTAGACGTGGGTCATGTGACATCTATGATGTCAGTCAACTCCATAGAACAACCAAGGATGCTGAGAGTCCCTGGGGTTGCTACATTAGAAGATATTGGGAAGATGAAAGTAAAGGGAAACGACCAAACAAAACAAAACTGAAATCCACCTCACACAGGGCTGACTTGAATGTGGTTTCCTTGTTTATTTTACAGAAAGAATATTCTAGTAGATAATAGGGTAAGGATATTTTAAAGTTAACATTAGTGAAGTTAGTCAATTAGGGTCTGAAATAGCTGAGGTTTAAAATAAAAACCAAAGCTTTGACTTTGTTAATGTCAGCGCTCAGAACTTTTCTTCTTTTCCTTTTTTTTTTTTGAGTAAGAGTCTCACTTTGTTGCCCTCTGTAGAGTGCGATGGAGTCATAGCTCACAGCAACCTCAAACTCTTGGCTACAAGCGATCCTCTTGCCTCAGCCTCCTGAATAGCTGAGACTATAGTTACCTGCCACAACGCTGGGCTATTCTTTAGAGACAGGGTCTCTCTCTAGCTCAGGCTGGTCTTGAACCCCTGAGCTGATGAAATCCACCCACCTCAGCCTCCCAGAGTGCTGTAATTACAGGTGTGAACCACTGTGTCCAGCAACTTCACTTATTTCTTGCTTAGACTATTGCCTAACCAAACTGCTCAGAGAAGAAATTCTATGTGGGCAGAATTGTGTCTGCTTTGTTTATTACTTTAACCTTTACCTGAAACACATAGGAGATGCTGAATAATACTTGTATTTGTTGATTCAGTGAATGGGAAGTGATCTTTCTACCTCCTATTTCTCCCTGCTCCATTTTATTCTACAGGTTGAACTTCTTAAAAGTGGTACTGTTGCAAAGCTTATAGAACTATGTGCAAACTTGGTAATCTGCTATAAAGGACCCTGACTTCATGGATGGAATCTTTTTTTCCAGCCTCATCTCCCTTTGTTGCATTCTCATGCCAAAGTGAACTGGTCCCTGGTTCATATGCTCCTATTGAAGCTTTTGCTCATGTTAGTCTCACTACTATTCCATTATTTCTTCTTGCCAAGGTGCAGGTTATATGCTGCGTCCTCCATAAAACTCTTCTCAATTTGCCCACTAGGATGTAATTTGTCCTCCTTTGAGCTGACACTTAAATCACATTCAGCTTTGTAGTGTAGTTATTTGTATTCCAGAGGGACACAACTCGGACACCACGGTACACTGGTATTCCCCACAGCACTTGGCATAGTGTCTTGCACAAAGGATTTGCTAAAAAGGATTTGTGAACTGAAGTGAGGTGATGTACAGGGGTCAGGTAGGTAGTCACCTAGCACTAATTAGAACTACATTATTAAAGAGACTGAATTGCAGATGGTAAGAAACTGGTGAGGTTTTTAAAAACCCTATCTCTAACTATCATTTGGTTTGAAACTTAAGAGACCCAGAAGGTAATTAGAATTTTGTGAGAGAGAAAAGTGCTTTTTGGAAAAATCTCATTTTATACAATGGTGCCACATTGGCTGAATCTCAATGACTCTAATTTACTTTATACCTAGTGAATTTCTACTATCTGATTCTCAAACTTGGGAAATACTTGAGCCAAAAAAATAAAGTATGTAATAGAAATCTCCATAGAGGCATATTAGAATTTCAAACCAGGACAGAGTTTCTCAGTTTCCTGAGGCAAATGTGGATGATTTAAAATTTCATCAAGGTGAACCTATTTTCCATCAAGTTTTTAAGTGAATGTGGGTTGAGAAGTCTGGAAAACTCAGGAGTACTTATGTCTTTTTGTCATAATTTCTTGCTCAAAGTAGGCACAATCCGACAGCTATTTTGGGGTTATATTTTGGGTCTTTGGGTACATTCAAATTCCAGAGTGGAGTATGGATAAGATGCGGTGAATAGGGTAAGAATTGTGGTCATTTCTTCTGGCTGAATTTCGCAGACGTCCATATAAAATGATTCCTATAGACAAGATAAATAACAAACTTTTGTGGGTCTGAAGAGGTCACTTGGTCAATTCAGACTCTTGTCCTTTACCAGGGTTCTTGACTCTGTTCCCTGTGACCTTTCTTTGTCAGGTGGCGATGTTGATCTGTGCGGGCTTCCTTATTGCCTGGATTCCTTACGCAGTGGTCTCTGTGTGGTCAGCTTTTGGAAGGCCCGACTCCATCCCCATCCAGCTATCTGTGGTGCCAACCCTACTTGCAAAATCAGCAGCGATGTACAATCCAATCATCTACCAGGTCATTGATTACAAATTTGCCTGTTGCCAAACTGGTGGTTTGAAAACAACCAAGAAGAAGTCTTTGGAAGACTTCAGGTAAAATTTCAAAAGCCAGAAGTAAATTACACTCTTTGTTTCAAAATCCTGCAATGTTTAAGCCACTCGGATGCACTGTCTTCTTAGGATGAAAGCTTATCTCTTAGGAGTAGTATAAGAACTTTACTTTCTGCTCATCAAATTTCCCATACTCAAGTAATGAGATATGTAAGGGTTGTATGACATGAACAGATAGTGAGAAAAGTGATTTGTTTTTGGTTCTGGGGCAACTAAGGTTCATAGCTGTGTCTGAGTAACCACTACGTATCATGGCTCCTTATCTGGGGCCAACTCCGTTTTACTGCAAGTGTATGTTTCACACGGCATTGACCCAAAATTAAGGTCTTACAACAGAGTGATTCTCTTGACTGAGACATAACTATCACCAGCTAAGAGCAAAGGAGTTGGGAAATAGAGGAAGGGAAGAAAGGATAAAACGTCTTTGCTCTGAGCCAGGTTCTTCTATTTTGTTTTCACAAGAACCCTGGATTACTCTTTTTCTTTGTCAGATGAGAAACTGAGTGAAGTTCAAGTAATATTAAGGGGAGGGAAATGCACATGTTTACAAAGACATAAAATAGCAGAGCAGGGACTTAAATTCAGATCTGCTGGGTTTCAAAACATGTTTTTTCATTTATACTGTTTTTTCTACTCAATGACCTAGAGAGTTTGGGAATCCAGCACCATTTTTGCTAAAGGCCCAGAATGCAGGTGGTGAGTAATGAGTTTGGGGTGCTTGGTGGGTCAGCTGTGTCCCCTCAGGGACAGTCTTAGCAGTAAAAAAACAGAACAGGCACCTGAAGTCAGGGCCTGAGGTGAGGGGTGTCAGGAAGGCCCCAGGTTTCCGCCCTCTTAATTCTTATTCCCTTTTCAATACTTCTTTCCATCAGCAGATGGGGGCAGTAGACAAAAAGGTCCAACTAGCTATGGGAAAGTGCGGGTTTTGTCTTGTTTTCTTTCTTTACGCTTAAGGAAGAGACGTGTCTTCTGACCTTTAGGCTCTTTACCAGGGATCAAATGAAAAATATAATAAAAAGACACCAATAAAGAGTAGTATTGTCATTGTTGCTGTTGAATATGGGTAGAAATACTTTGGAGATAGAAGGCTAGTGTTTAAGACTGGTATTTATAGTAACTATAATTTTGGGCAAATTCATTACTTAGAGCTTTGGATTGGAATGAGCTAATAACAATATCTATCTCCTGAAGCTGTAAGAATTAAGCAAAAAGGGTGAGTGAGAAAGCATAGGTGACAGCTGTTAGTCGTTTCTTCATACGGGGTGGTTAATACATCCACTGGTAAATTGAACAGTTAAATCCAAAGGCTAGAATGCATCTGTTTTGGAAGTCATACACTACGCCCTCATGAGCTGTTGATACTTTATTATGAACCCAGGTAGAGAGAATGATTTTAATGGAGCAGTTGTGGGAGACAGTGATGGGGCCCTTCTTCATCGGGAGGGTGTGCGGACTTGACAGGAATGGCTGCAGGCAAATTTCACCTCTCTCCTAATTTTCCCTCCGACCTGCTGTGTTCTGTCCATTCACTCAGGACTGTGAGCAGCACATAAATATTCAATACTCAACAATAGGAGGAGGGAAATTTATGCAGAAGAAAGTGACTTGGGGCCACAAACCTTTGGGAAAATCAGCCAGGCAAGAGACAGCTCAGTTCATTTGTTCCCATTAGCCGTTTATAGGAAATACGGCAATTGCTTTGCTGGAGGAGAGAAAGGGCTGTTTGCTGAGCGTCAGCCTTCAGTGGAAAAAGCAGGCGTAGTGCTGCGGCAGCCAGGAGCCCGGGGTTGGGCATCTGAAGGAAAGGAAAGCCGAGGAGGTACCGAGGTGCAGATTTGAGAAGGGGATGTTTCAGAAAAGAGCAGGAGGATGGAAGGTGACCGCCCCCAGAGATTTATGTTTATCTTTGGTGTTGCTAGGCAAGCAGGAGGCCTGAAGAGGGAAGTTAAGCCAGGCCAGAGTGGCTGACACACGGTCAGAACTATTACATTGAATTAAAAACTGGATCAATCAATAATCCTGTTCTTCTCCTAAGCCTGGAAATGTATTTGCATATAAGGCGGGGGGACCCTCTTGGAAAATATTTTGAATTCAAATGTTAGAGCTCATGTGTTGAAGATGAGATTGTGGAAATACATTTTGCGTGATGTTGAGAGTTCATTAAAGGTTTTTTTTTTTTTTTAAACTCTAATTCCACGGCAGATTATCATTAAAAGTTAAATTCATTTCTGCCCTCTGAGATTTTGGTAGAAACTAATACACCAAAGGAAAAAATAATCTGGGCAAGGGTCCTTTTTGAAAAGTCATTGTTCCCCACACCTGGGTATCCAAATGTAGTCTCCCCTATTTTGTTACAGTGCTTCTTCATCCTGGCTGTGTAGGGGAGAGACCTGGAGACTTTGGAAACTACTGCTGGCTGGGTGCCCCCTGCAGAGAGGTCCCGGATTGGGCCTCTGCTGCTTTGTTCTTTGTTCCTCGGCTGTTTACCTCTCTCAGATGATTCTCATAGTCATGGCTGTAAGCTGATGAACCAGAGGCCGAGAAAGGAAAACGTTGGTAGTGCAGCTCCTGGATTCCTGTGCTTTGGGCCCTGTTGACTCAGGGACCAATGAGGCCACCCATGGTCAGTGACAGGGAAGGACACTGCAGATGCTGGGCCCATCTTTGATGGAGAAGAAATGTTCACAAGACACTGGAGGGATAACTGGAGGTACACAGTGAAGGGTGGGGACATTCTACGGTCCTAGGACTTTAGTAAAGATAAAGAACAAGGGAGAAGCAAACCTCAAATTCTGGCATCGCTGTTGGAATGAAACCTCCCCGGCCTATCTGAGCTTGCGTGCTGTCTTTCCAAGGAATGTTCTCTAGTAGGTGAATCACAGGCTCAGTGGAGAGGTAGGTAGGTGTGTAAGGAATTTTGTCCTAGAAAATAGGAAACTCACTATGGCACAGGCAATGTGCCTTAAACCAATGGCTTGTTTGGGGGAAGCTCTGACTAAAGGATTTCTTGACTTTGAATATTCTTAGTTGAGTTATTATTTTCTCTCTCTAATTTGAGTCTCATGCACATAACCTTCATGGTAATCAAATTTGACGTGATATACGTATATATGTATTTATTTGTGTGCATGTACATATGATTGCTTTTTTCTTCTCCTCTATCCAGGCTGCACACTGTGACCGCGGTCAGGAAATCGTCTGCTGTGCTGGAAATCCATCAAGAGGTATGAAGATGGACACGGCATCACTCACGGACACATTTATTCACTCGTTTGCCTCTTTACTGCTGTTAACATTTGATTGTGGCCACACTTTTCTCTTTATATTATATTTTTATATTTTGTACACTTTTCCTCAAGCCGGGGTTTGCTGGGAGATTCCAATAGCCAAATGAAATTAGATTATAGGATGCTACTGTAAGGGGTTATTGGGACGAGCATCCCTGGAACTTTCTTTTCTTGTACTTAAAATCCTGTTGTGATGCCAAACAGCATTAAGTCTGAGATATTAAGAAAAATGTTGAAAGATATTATTTATTAGGGAGTTATTTAATTTTATTACAAGGTTGTCATTATTGTTAATGTAGAGTTGAGGGGCAGTTTCTGGGGTTCGTGTAGGTGAGGGGTCATGTGTGTTGGGCCATGACTCTGGCCGATGCTTCTAATCCTCACAGCCATCCCCCTTTCCTGCTAATGGAGGGTCACACTCTAATGGCAATGATTCTGTAAGGGATTCCTCTGGGGAAATCAGTTTTGTCTTAAAACCCTAAATGGAAAACTCTCTTGTATCTTTGAATTTGAGGACAAAAAATAATGCCTACTGATAATTTTACCCCTGTGGGTTTTTCTTATTAAGTTCTAATTACTAATATCGTGGATGTAATAGGGCGTTACAAGTTGTAATTGCTTAAGAAATGAATTTAGTGACAATAGCTATCTGTAAGTATTTGTTTTCTTTTTGTTAACTTTGTTGTTTCTTTTGTTAATTCTTTTTTTTGTTGTTGTTGTTTCCAACAAATGCCTTTTGAGGTTTACAGGTAAAGAGAAGCAGGGGTAAATGGAAGGGAATCATCTTCCAGCCAATATGATTTAAAAGTCTGCCCAGATTAGTTAGCCGGAAAGCAAACTGAGGTTGAACTGAACTTACAATGTGGTTCGTTGCTTAATGAGCGAGCAATCTTGTTTTAAAAAAAATATTTTTCAAAAAAAATATATCCTTACCCTTCAAAAGCTGAGGAAGGGCAAGGATGAAAAGGGAATGCATGTAAATACAAGGTCTGCACAGCCCTGCACTCAGTGTCACTTGATGTCTCCACATCTGCTGAGCAGGGCCATGTACATTGCAGGCCTGGGCAGGTACTTTCATGCTCCCCGTTCTATCTGCCCACCCTTCCATTAGGAGCAGTCAGCTTTCCGCGTCAGTCTGATTCTGCCTTTCCAGTTACTGCTAGTGAGAATAGTGGAAAAGGGAAGAAAGTGGCCTCTCTCATGCCGCTGGTCTCTCTTTTCCTTTTCTCTGCTCCTTCCACTTGAAGATTTATAGAGAATCGGACCCTCTTTTACTTTCCTTGAAAGGGTGGGGGTAAAGGGGTGAAGAATGAGTTGGTGTGTGTCATTGGGGTTAGATAAATGATAAATAACTGGATAGATGTCACAAACATGCTGTATGTTTAAAGTAAAAAAATGACAACTCTGCTCAGGGCTTAGAGTGCTTATCGAAGCCTGGAGAATAAAAAGAAGAATTGTCATCAGAATGGGACTTTTAGGCAGATGTATAACTTAGGTGTGAAGGAGTGTGGTATCTCAGATGGAAGGGGACACAGGCTTAAAGCACCACTGCTCTATGCCCTTTAGCAAGCTTGTAAAATGGGGATAGTGACAATGGTATCACTGGTCGTGGTTGCACTTAGATGAGATGACGTCCACCAAGTCACTCATCACCATGCCTGTAGCAGAGGAAGACGCTCCTGCATAGCAGCAATTGCTGTTGCTATTAGTCAAGTGGATGGTGATGTCAGAAGTGAGGCTGGGCATGGTTAGTCCAGTAAGGGACAGATCAGACCCCAGGGGCCTCGATGTTTATATAGTTACATGAATTTTACCCTGAAGGTGACAGGGAAACCAGTCTGGTGGCAGTGTGGAGGGTGGGCTGTCTGGGTGGGAATGAGGATTAAGATGAGAGTGTATCAGACTGGTTAGGGAGCCTTATTAAAAAAAAAAAACAACAACTGTAATTTATGAGAGCTTGAATTCAAATGGCAATAGAAATGGAGATAATAATTTAGATTTCAAGTATTTAAAATGTAGGAATTCTTGGCAATTGATGACATGGAGGCAGGAGAGTCCAGAATGACTTGGAGATGTCTGCTTAGGAAATAGTGTGGATAATGGTGTGTAGAGAAGAGAAAGTGCAGGAGAGGGAGCGGGCTGGGGAAAGAAAAGGGATTGAATTTGACTTGTGATGAATGCGCAGCGTTTGCAATGTAAGTGAAGATATTCAGAATAAGCAGTTAAAAATAATCTAAAATTATACTCAGTGATATGGTGATTATAGGAAGTCAATGTTAGGTGAAAAAGTACTGGTTTCCAAAGATTTCTGAAGGCAGCGAAGTGAAGGAGTTTTGTTGAAGTGGAAGCTGGAGGTGATCAGAGGACAAAAGCATAGTCGAGTGCGGGTAGACTTGTCCACAGGCTGGGATTTAAGATGAGGATTGTACAGAAGTCCCTCAAGGTAGCGATACTCTCCCATTGAACTGTGTAACTAGAATGTGGTCTTTAATACAGCTGGAAAAAATCACGTACATGAAAGGATTAGTATAGTGAGGAGGGCAAAAAGAGCTTTGGGGGGATCCGAGAGTTATTTCTGCTATCAATTTGAAAGATATGCTTTCAACTCTTTGTGCTCTGGTTCTACCTTTTTTTAAAATCAATGCTCTGAGAGCTGGGGACA